ACATCTGGCCCTGCATTTGTTTTTATAAATAAAGTTTTGTTGATACACACAAGTGCATATTAGTTTACATAGTATCTGGTTGCTCTTATGCTACAACTGCAGACCAATTTTAGTATGAAGACTGTTTGGCCCATGAACCTTAAAACAGTTACTGTTTGGGGGCCGGGCATGGTGGTGCACTCCTTTAACCCCAGTACTCAAGAGGCAGACGCAGGTGGATCACTGTGAGTTTGAAGCCAACCTGGTCTAGAGTGTGAGTTCCAGGACAGCTAGGGCTATTTCACAGAGAAACCTTGTCTCAAAAGACAAACTAAAAAAATCAGTTACTATTTGGCCCTTTAAAAGGTTTGCCTACTCCAGCTGTCAATCTTAAACTTCTCTAAAAGACTGGAATTGGGGATGGGGGAATAATTTTTTTTTTCAAACAAAAGTTTTATTGGCATCTAAAAACAAAATTCACCCAACACTGAAACATTGTTTGCTTTTCTTTTTTTTTTTTTTTTTTCTTTTTCACTTACTGCAGCGTGAGGAACAAACCACACATACTTTGGAGGTTTTTACAAAATCACTTTTTAAAATCTGTATTATGCTCCTCAAGAATTTAGAGCCAGTCCTTGCATAAAATGTCACAGCTTTGTCTGTCACCTTAGAATAATTTTAATAGTGATAATAACACTTTACAGTTGATACAGTAAGTTGTTATTTTTATCTCACTTGAGCCTCATAACACTCCTTTAGGTAGTTTTTTTGCTATTGTTGTTTTGTGTTTCCTGTAGACTTTTTTTATTGTTTTGTTTTTTGGGGAATTTAGAAATACAAAAGCAAGCTAGATGACTAGACAGTAAACTCCATGAGTCTGGGGATCATGTGTTTTGACATCCTCCCCTGTCCTCTGCCTCAGTGCTTGGACAGAGTGGACACACAGAGATTCTTACTAAATGAATGACAGTTATAAAGGTCACCCAGACAGAGAATCCAATTCTCCGGTTCCAGGGCTCCACAGCTGCCTAGCAGTGAAAGCTGGGACTTTCCCTGAAGATAGGGTGAACCAAGGGAAGGAGGGTTGACATGTCACCCTCCTGTCAGCTGACAGTTTGCCACTATGTCCCTCTCCCTCCTCAGTTAAGGAAGATAATCTCAGCCCCACAGACGCTCTTGCTTCCCCTAAACATACTGTTGACAGAGGTTTCTTAGATGAACGCTGCAGAGATTTTATTTACTTATTTATTTTTCCTTGTGATTGATGCCTTTTTAGATGAGATTCAGACTGACAGGCTGGGTTAGCTGGTGGTCACGTGGTGCCCATGTTTTGAATGCATTTCTGGCTGAACCCCAGGCTGCCCCCTGCCTTACCTCCTACCCAAAGATGAGTCACAGTGCTCAGCCGCCTGCCCTGCAGGAGCAGGCTCCAGACTTCAGGCTTTTGTTTTCTTTCATCTTGCTTTATGCTAGTCATGTGAGGCTCTCGGTATTAATAAACCGTCAGCCTGGCCTTCTAGAGGCTGCTGTTGCTTAGGGAGAAAATGAAAGGTTTGTGTTCCTCTTTCCACTGTCATGTGCTGATTGGTGGCAGAACTAAACCAGATGGGCACAGAGCCCTGTGGTCACTATGGATGGACAGGGCCGCCACCAGGGTGTGTTTTGATGCCTTGCTTGTCAGCGTCCTGCTTGTCAGCTCCTGGCTTCTAAGTTTAGGTCTCGGGCAATAAATTCAACACAGCAGCGTCACCACCACCATCTCCTCCTCCTCCAAATCAAGAGGCCACACCACCCCCTCCCCGTATGTGTGAAACACAGCAAACCCAGCAGGAAGACGTGAGGTTTAAAACTTTTTGTTTCCAATTGAAAGGAAAACTATGTTTAAGGAATTAGGTCTACATGTGGTTTGACAGGGGCTGAAGGGGCTCAATAGGGACAAATGTTTAGGTAAGGGCCTGGGACACGGAGCTGCTCTAAACCATCTAGGGCTGTGGTTCTCAGCCTTCCTAATGCCGCAACCCTCTTAATACAGTCCCCAGTGTTGTGGTGACCCCCAACCATAAAATTACTCTCATTGCTACTTTCTAACTGGAAGTTTGCTACTGTTACGAATTGTAATGTAAATATTTCTGGAGACAGAGAGTTGCCAAAGGGGTGGTAACCCACAGGTTGAGAAGTACTGACCCAGGGCATGGGTCCAAAGTTAGTTCTTTCCAGCAGTCTTTGCTTTTGTTTTCATTTCTTGTGTTCTCTTATAGCTTTGTTTTTGAGGTGCAGATTTTTGGATTTTACTTTGTTTCCTCCTTCTGCCTTGGTTCCAGCATCCAATACAATATCCTAGTCCATTGATGAGTGATCTCACAGGAGATCAGGCAGGGCCCGATCTGGTGAAGTGCTCTCAGGAAGCTTCCCAGGGCCGAGGCTGTAGCCCACGTGGTAGAATGCTTGCTTGGCATGCAGGAAGGCCAGTGCTTAATTGCCAGCATCTCATAAGCCAAGCGTGACGGGATGCACCAGTGATCCCAGCACTAGGGAGGGAGAAAACAGAGGAACAGAAGTTCAAGGTAATCCTTAGCTAGGGATTAAGTTTGAAGCCTGAACTATGTGAGGCCCCTGTCTCAAAAAGAAAGAAAGAAAGAAAAAAAAAAAGACTGAAAATTTTGTTCCAGATCAAAGGAGAGCCTGTTAAATTTTGCAATAGGAAAGAGCCAAAGATTCCACTGAGAACGTTTTCCTAGGGGCAGAGATTTCAAAAATACAGATATGAGGGCTTTTTAGAATTAGCATATATTAGTTATACACAATAATAAATTTGATTATGATGTTTTCATATATGTAAATTATGTGTTTTGATCATATTCACTTCTGTTACCTCTCGTGTCTCTTCCTTATTGGGGTTCTTGGTTTACTAAGCCTGAGTCTCTTTGGTTTTTCTTGGGGACTTGATTTGTCTTATTTCTGATGAAATTAGCTTTTTTAACTTTATATTAACCTTTTCTGTATGGTGAGTCTCTGATACATACAATGTGTCCTCTTACTTTCCTATGTGGCTAAAAAAAATACAGCCGAGTCCTTTCACTGGTTGTGAAGTACTTCATAAAGAGTCTTTGTTAATTTTTTTTCCACTTATTTATTGTGTGTTTGCGTATACATACATGCCTGCCTGTGTGTGGCCAACATGTATGTGGATGGGAACATGTGCTGCTCAGAGAACAACATTATAGTTCTCCCCTTGTATCATGTGCTTTGGGGATCTAGCTCAGGCTGTCAGGCTTGATACCAAGTGTCTTGTCTTTTTGTTTTTTTTCTAGACAGGGTTTCTCTGTGTGGACTTGCCTGTCCTAGACTCACTTTATAGACTAGGCTGGCCTCAAATTCACAGTGACCCGCCTGCCTCTGTCTCCCAAGTGGATAACAAGTGTCTTTACCTATTAAGCCATTTCATTTGTCCTAGTATATACTTATGAGCCTCACTTTATTCATCTGAGAAGTAGGTTGAACTAGATGATCTCTAAGACCCCTTGCCATTCTATTTTTCAACAATAGAATCTTTGGTTTGTTTTTAATGATGTGCCATCTCTGTACAGAATTTTTCTCTAGAAGGAAAGATTAAAATAAAGACCATAAACTTCAATTATTATATTTTCTTTCTTTTTGGCAATAATAGTGGTAATAGAAATTAACATAGGCCTTTGAAAAACCAAACTTCAGCATCTAACTTATGTCAGGCCCTTGGTGAGGGTTTTGTGTACACTGTCTCATTGAAAGCTCACAGCCTTGTGCTGGAGAGATGGCTCAGAGATTTGGAGCACAGGCTGCTCTTTCAGAGGTCCTGAGTTCAGTTCTCAGAAACCACATGGTGGCTCAAACCATCTGTGATGATATCTGATGCCCTCTTCTGACATGCAGGTGTACATGCAGACAGGACATTGTATACCTAATAAATAAATAAATCTAGAAAGAAAGAAAAAGAGGCAGGCAGGTAGGAAGAAGGAAGGAACGAAGGAAGGAAAAGAAAGCTCACAGCCTCAAAGACCCTGAATATTATTCATAAAGATGAAGAGCCCAGGTAACAGAATACATTTAGTGGCACACCCCTAACCACAAATTAAGACTCTGTCGACAGGACTCCATCTCAGGGGCTAGAGAGATGGCTCAGCCATGAAGAGCACTTGCTGCTCTTCTAGAGGACCTGGGTTCAGTTCCAGCATCCATGTGGCGGCTCACAAACTGTCTGTAACTCTAGTTCCAGGGAATCTAATGTTCTCTTCTGTCCTCCATTGGCACCAGGAACACACATGGTACACTTATACACATTTAGGCATAAAATATAATTAAAACTTTTAAAAGACTGCATCAAAGCTGACAGAGACAAGGGCTCTCCCTTGAGCCTCTGGGGAGAGATAGGTAAACACACTATACACCTCAGTTTCTATTCCTTGGCATCTTTCTATTAAAAAGGCAAATGCAACAAAGGAGTCTAATAATCAGGTAGGCTTATCAAACATGAAAAGCAGGCAGTGTCTAGAAAAAAAAAAAAAAACATCCCTTCCTCGGGTCATGCACGTGGTCCCCAAACAGAAGCTTTGCTGTGGCCTCAGAGCAGTGGGTGCCAGTAGATGAAAGTTCAAGTTGGGGCAAGAACAGTCCCCCTGGGGGGTGATTATGCAGAGCTCCGGTGCTCACAGGTCATGAGAGGTTCTGTTCCCTTCGGAATACTGTCAGCTCTCCTTTCCAAAGTGTGCTGAATGGAATGGATTAGCCCTGGCTGAAGCCCAAACCCTTTATATATGAGGGAAAAAAAGCAATTAAATATTCAGCCTGACTCCTGGTTTTGAATTACCACCATTTGTCTTTCACTCTGAGCATCTGCTTTCTATTGCCTAGTGCCCTTGCCTGCCGTTTATCTCTCTGTCTCTCCCATCAGTCTGTTTCTGCACATCATGTGACCCAAAAGTAAAGATTAGAGGAGAAAAATATCTCTGTATTCTAAGCCTGGCAACTTCTATTTTTATCCACAGCTGTTGGAGCTGATAGCAAAGTCACAGCTCACATCCCTGAGTGGCATCGCCCAAAAGAACTTCATGAACATTTTGGAAAAAGTAGTGCTGAAAGGTGAGATCCCCTGCCCTCTCAGCCCTTTTTATAGGTGTGGGAATAGGCAGGTGGATTTTCTCAAGTAACATGTCACTAGATTTAAAGGAATGTGAGTGGATGGAAATGAATAATGTCAGCAGAATTTCAGGGGTACCAGGTTCCAGCTCAGAAAAAGGTGCCACCGATGAGGACATATGCCCCACCCTTCACCATAGAGCCTCTGTAGCCCTAGGAAATGGAGCTGTGTGCAAGGCAGATTTGAGGCATAGACTATTTGAACTGGAGGGGAACCTTAGACCTCAGGCTCAACTGAGTCATTTCACACATAGGAGATCTGAGGTACATGAGAAATGATTGCCCAGAGATTAGCTAGACAAGATTAGAATCCAACCTTCTGAACCCCAAAACTACAGTTTTCCATTGATCTAAAAGGATGTCAAAAAAAAAAGCCACTGAACAAAAAAACCACTTTCTGATCAGGTGGACTCTTGACGCTGGTGGAGCAATGGAAACAGAAAAGAGCTCTTTAGAAACCCAGGGAGAAGAGAACAAAGAGGGACCTAGATGATGGAAACTAGACCCATTAGCCAAGTATAGAATAAACACTGGTGAGAAAGAAGCCGGAATCCTAACAGGCAGCGCCCGGTAATAGGAGCAGACACCGAAGAAGAAAAGCCCATTTGTAACATGCCTGGTTTCAGTAACATAACTTCAATTTCATTTTTTTTCCGCTCAAGTCCTTGAAGACCAGCAAAACATAAGGCTCATAAGGGAACTTCTCCAGACCCTCTATACATCCTTGTGCACACTGGTCCAGAGAGTTGGCAAGTCCGTGCTGGTGGGCAACATTAACATGTGGGTTTATCGGATGGAGACCATTCTGCACTGGCAGCAGCAGCTGAATAGCATCCAGATCAGCAGGGTAAGTGCCAGCCCCACTCACCCCACTGTGGTTTCCTCCGCTCAGACGCTGAGCAGGAGTCCAGGACACAGCGTCTGCTCTGGTGATGCAGGAGTTGGTTCCCTCTGATTTGATGCAGCATCCTTGTGCTGAGGGTGGTGTGAGGGGCGTCCTGCTAGGGGGAGTGGGAAGAAGAATTTGGCAAGACAGGTGGAAGGAATGTGAAGGATGACAGCCAACTGCAGCATCGTGCAAAAAAAAAGGAACATAGCTGTCGGGGGCGGGGTGTCCTGCTGAAGTCTTCAGTGGGGCCTTGGGGAGCTCTCCGCTCATTTCCTCAAAAAGAATGAGCTGTTTGTGGATTGGGGATACTGCCTTCAATACAATAGAACCCTGAAGACAGTAGCTCGGAGAACTGGTACCACCAGCCTTTTACAATTTCAGTTCCATTTATTGGTGGTGATGACAAAGGATGCCTTTGAATCGAGCCTGAACATACATGTAAGAAAATGCTGAGCAAGACTGGGCTAAAGGCCTATAGATTACTGGTATATGGCTATAGATAGATAGATAGATAGATAGATAGATAGATAGATAGATAGATAGATAGATAGATAGATAGATCGATCGATCAGACACTTCTTTTGGCTTTTGAAATAAAAGCTCACTGTTGGCTCCTATCATCTTAAGGCACACACAAAACTGTGTGTGGCTGGCGTAATCTCTCACTGCTCACCGGTGGACAGGCACACTCGGGAGGCTCACACAACACTTTGCTCACTTATCTAATCACGTGCTGGCCTAGTTAAGTGGCTTCCGGGACCCACACAGTTTGTAAAAAAATTGCACCATGTGTCAGGTGAAGGGGACATGCAGAAAACCCCGTGACCTCGTCTGCATAATTACTTTGCCATAGGCTATTTACAAAAAGCACATTCTTTCTTTACAGTTAATGATTTTTCTGCATCTTGGTTTTTGTTTTTGTTTTAATTTTAAAGCAGAGGGAATGATTAGAAACCTCTAGTTATGTGGCTTCCCTGTCACTTAGTCACTTAGTCACTTAGTCACTTAGGCTACAATGCCCCTGCTTGTGCACATAGGCACGTGCCTGCAAACACATGTGCACAGAGAGCAGAGCAGAGCCCAAAAGCAGGTCATCTTTCAGAGATTACCCCCATTGTTGGATTGTTTTAGGAAAATTAAGCATTTATTATGAACAGTATAATTTAATAATTTATCTGAGTCTCATCTCTGAAGTATGGCGATAGCTTAACAATGGCCATTTAAGACCAGAAATCCACTCTTCTCTCACAGAAGACTCACATAGAACTGATTGCCAGCATTCTCTGTGACCTGCACTGAATATTTCCTGGCTTAGTCCCCCGAGAAAATTCCCAGCCAGTGATAAAAATGAGCAAGACCCATTTGTTCCAATGGCATCTTCCCTCTAGTAACTTTGGAGCACCCGTTCAGATGGCCCTGCTTGCCCTGGGCTGTGTTTCCTCTGGCCTCTTCAAATGACTGTGTTGCCTACCGCAGTCTCCCAATCCTTGTACTTCAAGGCCTTTCTTACTTAACACCCCCCTCAGTTGATCCCCAAACCCTCTTGAAAGGCAGCCATTGTAAGTACTGTTACCCTTCATAGGATGGCACTGAAGTAGGGAGCAGAGGATCAGTGACCTTCTCAGCACTACACAGCAATTAGGCTAAGAGCTAAACTCAGAAGCCTGAAGTATTTATACCTAAAATGGCAAAGTGTGCTTAACATCAGTGGCTTCCAAACTTTTCCCCATCTATTTATCCACTGACCCAGCTTATTAAAAAAAAAAAAAAAAAAAAAAGCTTTTTAATCCAATGAAGTCCTCTGCAGAAGAGATCAAACACTGAAGCTTCCTTCCAACATCTGCTTGAGGGGATCCAGAGGAACCCCATACTTCTGTGCACACTACCCCAGAGCCCTTTGGCTCACAGCCATCCCATCTCTCTCTTTTTTTTTTTTTTTTTTAATTTTATTTTTTTCTTATCAGTTACATTTTATTAACTCTGTATCCCAGCCATGTCCCAATCCCTCATTCCCTCCCAGTCCCTCCCTCCCTCTCTCATCTCCACCGTGCCCCTTTCCAAGTCCACTGATAGGGGGGACCTCTTCCCCATTCATCTCATCCTGTTTTATCAGGTATCTTCAGGACTGGCTGCAAAGCTCTCCTCTGTGGCCTAACAGGACTGCTCCTCCCTTGGGGGTGGGGAGGCCAAAGAGCCAGTCATTGAGTTCCTGTTAGAAATAGTCCTTGTTCCCCTCACTATGGGAAACCAATTGGTTACTGAGCTACCACAGGCTACATCTAAGCAGAGGTTCTAGGTTATATCCATATATGGTCCTTGGTTCAATGTCAGTCTCAGAAAAGACCCTGTGCCCAGATATATTTGGTCCTTGTGGAGCTCCTATCCTTTCCCCATCATACTAACTCCCCTTCTTTCTTATGATTCCCTGTACTCTGCCAAAGGTTTGGTCATGAGTCTTTGCTTTGAAAACACTGCTAGTTAGAGTCTTTCAAATGCGCTCAGTAGACTCCTGTCATACGTTCAATGCGCATCCCATCTGTCTTTCTAAACGAGGATTGATCATCTTATCCCATGTCCGCTCTCTTGATTATCTTTTTTAGGTGTACAGATTTCATTATGTTTATCACATCTTATAGGTCTATATAAGTGACTATATACCATGTTTGTCTTTCTCCTTCTGGGATATTTCACTCAGGATGATCTTTTCTAGGTCCCACCATTTACCTGCAAATTTCATGATTTCCTCCTTTTTGATTGCTGAGTAGTATTCCATTGTGTAAAAATACCACAATTTCTGTACCCATTCCTCCGTTGATGGACATCTGGGTTGTTTCCAGGTTCTGGCTATTACAAATAAAGCTGCTATAAACATGGTTGAGCAAATATCCCTTTTGTGTACTTGAGCAAACTTTGGGTATATACCTAGCAGTGGTATAGCTGGGTCTTGAGGAAGCACTATTCCTAATTGTCTTAGAAAAAAAAATATGGAACGCTTCACGAATTTGCGTGTCATCCTTGCGCAGGGGCCATGCTAATCTTCTCTGTATCGTTCCAATGTTAGTATACGTGCTGCCGAAGCGAGCACCCATCCCATCTCTTAAAGCCCCTATCAGTCAGTCTGTTTCAGAAACCTCTCTGACTAGTGAAGCGATATCTTCACATACACGTCTCTCTCCATCCGCTGCTTTATAATCTCCAGAGGAAAAGGCAGCATTACCTTCTGTCCTGTACCTGGCACAGGCGACCAGTGGATTCTAGTTGACGGGGTGAAGATTTGAAGAAGCAGCTCCCCTCTCCCCCTCCCCCTTCCCCCGCCTGCGTGACATACGTAGTCAGCGTTCATGGGAACATGACTGGAGAATATCATCCTAGATTATGGATGACAGGGAGACGTTAACGACTGCAAGATTCGGACAGGTTGTTCAGTCCCCCTGTGATGCGTCACTTTCTGAATTTGGAAAACAGGGACAGTGATGCCCATCTCACAGCCCTGTGTGAGATTTAACGTCCGCGTGAGGTTGCATAAATTACTCTGCAGAAAGCAGCTGGGACAGGGCCTGGTATTTGGTAAGCATTATTATAGATGCATCAGGTGTTAGGGTACTATAACTCCTTCCCGTGTGATGGTTAGCTTGTCCAGTCAATAACTGTAATTAAGGTAAATGACTGAAATTTACTGGGCACCGTGCTAAGTCCTTCTATGCATTATCTCATCTCTTCTACCCAACCAAGGTGCTCATTTCCTTGTTTTCTAAATGAGAAGAATCATCCTCACGGTCCTTGGGGACAGATTCTGAGACACCCTGAGGGTGTCCTGGACGCTCAGTGTCTTGCATACGGTGGCGTAGTGACTGTGCGTTGCCCACACACACGTCCTCTGCACTGCTGGTCACCTCTACGCAGTCCTCATACCTCGTGGGATGCTGTGTGCACAGGCACGAGGGCAAGAAAAGGAGCGTGTACACAGTCAGTACAGACGCATTTTTTTCCTAAATATTTTCCGTCTGCGGTTCGTCGAATTCGAGGACTTAGAAAGAACGTGGAGGGCAGACTGTAACTGTTGAGGCCTCCACAGGGGGTCTGGCATCAGACTCCCAACGCAGGGTGCTCTCACGGAGGCTGCACTCTGAAGGACTGCTCCTTTCTCTTTCCTCCCCTGAACCTGCTAGGGGGCTCAGAGATGTATAGAAAGAAGATCTTGCCACAGAAATCCCCCACTCTTAAGGAGCTTGATGGCTCAGGCCTGTAGCCTCAGCACACCTGGGAAGTGGAGGCAGGAGGATGGGGACTTCAAGATCATCTTCAGCTTCATAACAAATATGAAAGCAGCCTGGTCTATGAAATCCTGAGGGAGGGAGAGAGAACATGAACACTCAACTTCAGTCTGGACTATATTTTTATATTTGTCAGAAAGAGAAATGTGTTAATCCATGAAAATATTGAAGAGACTTTCATAGTAAACACTTCCTTTTTGCCCAAGTCCTGCCAATGTTCTCCCAGCATATAACCTTGTTTGCCTTAGCAATCTTCATATCTAATTCTTTCAAGCCAATTTTTATTGGCAAACATAACTTATATAATAAAGGATGAAGGACAAAATTAAGAGTACTGGTTTGGAGGGGAAAAAAATAAAATATAATTATAGTACTGTGGGCAAAGCAGTGTTTTGGAAAATGAGGGCTGGGGTAGGCACAAATGGAATTTAGCCAAATGTTTGGCTAGGACTTACAAGAGTGACATATTTTTCCTTTTATATGTTTGTATTAAAAAGGAAGAAGGCACGCAAGCAGTTAACCGTTTATCAGAAGGAAGGGCTTGGCATGAGGTCTGGGCAAGGGTTTTGGAAAAGTTCAGGTTTGAAAATTTTGACAGAGCAAACTCTGCCAAGCAAACTTGCCTTTAATAGGAGTTAATGTAATAATTGGCCTGGGAGTTTTAACCAAAAAAGTAGAGGCTTTGAAGTGCTGGAAACAAAAAGAAAATCCCATGGCAGTTTTATTAGCTCATATGATCAACAGCAGATGATAAACTACAAATAGGTCTAGGGTTCTCTGCGGCCACACAAAGTACTTGAATGTTGCAAACAATTGAAAGTTCAGCCCAACAGCCTGGGGTATAAGAGAGCAGTAAAAGCTGTCAAGTCACAGACACTTCTGAAGAAACAGGAGGCCTGAGTCACATCACAGCAGGTCCAAGATCGTTAGAGCTACAGGGATTGTCAGTATTCTAAACACAGGCTTTGGAAGTTGGGGAAACTGAGACCCCAATTTGGGGAAACAGATTCCCCAGGATGCCATTTGGATCTGTTCCCTGCCCATATGACTTTCTCCCATGCCACAACCATTCTTCTCACAACACCCTCTCAGTCCTCCTTCTAAAGCCCATCTTCCCACTAGTCCTTCTGCCTTCCAAGGCCCTCAGGTCATTGCCAAGACTGACGGACATTTGGAATCCCAGTGAGGCTCGGACCAAGCAACCCCTGGAGTTTCCCATGTGTTTGGGCTCTGCTGGGTTTCCTACAGTTTCTACCCCAGAAATTTGGTAGAAAAAAATAGTCTCTATCCCCAGAGCATTATTTTCCCCTGTGCAGTTCTACACGTAAGGGCTGTTTGTGCTAGACTAGTCTCCAAGGCCTACAAGCTATATCCTGCCTTCAAGGATACAGGTCTAGGAGAGTTATCTTGAGATCATCAAAATTTAAAATAGGAAAAGGCTTGAATATAATCCTGGTGGTATACAGGAAGTTCCTTCATAAGCTCATGATTGATTATAGATGTCTGTTATGTGTAGAGGAACAGGTTTTCAAACATTCCCTGCAGGGGCTGGAGAGCTTTCTCAGTGGCTAAGAGCACTGTTAATCTTGCAGAAGACCTGGGTACAGTTCCCACCACCCACATGATGGCTCACAACCATCTGTAACTTTAGTTCTAGGGTATGTGATACCTTCTTCTGGTCTCTATGGACATCAAGCACACATGTGGTACACATACATACATGCAGGCAAAACACACATACATCTGAATTAAATAAAAATTTTAAAAATTAAATGTTCTGTGGTATGAACAGAGCTGCCTCAGTTACAGTATAGCTTAGCTCAGAGGGTTTGGGGCTAACCGTTCCCAGTGTCTATACACATACACATGTAAGCACAAACATAAACAGACATATGCCACTCCAGGCTGTTCTCTGGGTGGCTCTGTCATGGCTCCTGCTTTGGGAATCTAGTTGTTAATAAGCCAGCTTAAGGAGCAGTGCATTCTGGGACAAGTTAGCTGCAAACAGCTCTTCTTTGCTTACCATACGGCCTTCTCTCTGCAGCCTGCCTTCAAAGGCCTCACATTCACTGACCTGCCTGTGTGCTTGCAACTGAATATCATGCAGAGGCTGAGCGATGGGCGGGACCTGGTCAGCCTGGGCCAGGCAGCCCCAGACCTGCATGTGCTCAGTGAGGACCGGCTGCTGTGGAAGAGACTCTGCCAGTACCACTTCTCAGAGCGTCAGGTCAGTGAATCCCAGTGACCCGCACCATCCCTCTCCAGCATGCAGTGGGGTTGCTGGCCTCCACTAGAAACCAGCAGTCTAAGGCGGTGGTTCTCGACCTTCCTAACACTGCAGCCCTTTAATACAGGTTGTGGTGACTTCCAACCATAAGATTATTTTTGTTGCTACTTCGTAACTGTAATTTTGCTACTGGTATGAATCATGACGCAAATACCTGTGTTTTCCAGTGGTCTTAGGTGACCCCTGTGAAAGGGTCACAACCTGCAAGTTGAGAACCACTGGTCTAGGGCATTCCTAAAGTCACTATGTGATGTTTTTGGGTTTTGGTTCCCTGTTGTTGCCATCATTGTCCTAGTAGAGGAAAAATAAATCCTTAACCCAAACTGTATTTTACAGCTCACGCAAAAACTTCACAAATTGGTATTGCCTCTTTTCTTTAAAAAAAAAAAAAAAAAATGGGGGGGTGACATTTTATGGTGCTTTATCTTCAAGCGCTTTTATGAACATTACTTCCTTCCATCCTCCCATCCCAGGAAGGGTAGCTATCGTCATGACTACTTCTAACAAGCATAGATACCAAGACCACAAAGGATCTATGTATTCAAATTAGTGAAGTGATTCTCAGGGTGAGACAGCCGGCCCCTCGCTTGAATTGGGCCTGCAGATACCTTTTCAATATGTTCTTCACAATCACACTGCCTCAGGGTTGTTTTCCAACTTCTTCATGTATGTACATTAATTCAACGGGTTGTTTCACCAAGAAGCCACTGATACTTACGCGTAAAGTAATGCCACAGTGCTAATAGCTGTGTCTTCGTAGAAATAATCATTCAGGGCTCCAGCAAAGAAAAGACTGAGGTTGCTTGTGGGAGCGGCCTAAGCATTGAAGGACTAGCCAGAGGCACTATATAAACAGTTCTTAGGAAAACATAGCCACCTATTTGGAAAGATGGTTAAAAAGGAATGAGTGCGGAGACCTATTTTACAGCTTGACGGTTGTCTTCCCTTTTAGCATCCACATGAAAGTGTAGGGGAAAGAGTTGGAGCAGAAAGCTCCAACCTATCCTCTTGGTGAACTCTATTGGAATTACTTTTCTCCATTTGATTTTTAGATCCGCAAGCGATTGATCTTGTCCGACAAAGGCCAGCTGGATTGGAAGAGGATGTACTTTAAGCTTGTACGATGTTACCCAAGGAGGGAGCAGTATGGAGACACCCTGCAGCTCTGCAAACACTGCCACATCCTATCCTGGAAGGTACGCGCCTGCGCTGGCTATTGTCCTATCAACCGACACAAGCTAGAGTCATTTTGGAAAGGGGACTCTCAGTTTAGAAAATGTTTCCCCCCGTTGTCCTGTGGGCAAGTCTGTGAGGCATTTTCTTCATTGGTGGTTGCTATAGAAGGATCCAGCTGACTGTGGGCAGTGCCTCTCCGGGGCTGGTGGTCCTGGGTGCTATAGCAAAGCAGGCTGAGCAAACCAGTAAGCAGCACCCCTCTGTGGTCTCTGCTTCAGTCCCTGCCTCCAGGTTCTTGCCTGGATTTCCTGGCCTGCTTTCCCTGAGCCAGGCCCTAAGATTGAGCATTGCAAGGAACATGAGGCCAGGTATTCCCTGATCTTTCCTACCTCGGCCCCCAACTTATAAGGAGAGTAAAACTCATTCAGCACTTGAATAGGGAAGGAAGCTCAAAGACCTTCATTTTCTCCACCCCTTCTATTCATTTGTTGCTGAAACACATTCATCACGTATTCTGTCTTTGTGTGCGTGGGTATATATATGGGCAAACACTAACTCTTTGGCTGTCCAGTGCTGTGGAATTCTCTCTTTTGTGGAGGAGAGAGCTAATGTGTGGATATGGTGTGTGTGTGTGTGTGTGTGTGTGTGCGCGCGCGTGCGCATGTATGTCACAGTCTCCTATTTTCCTAAATAGTGCTCCACCTACTTTTTTTTTTTTAAGCGTGAACCTGGAGAGCTGAAAAGATGGCTCAGTGGTTGAGAGCACTGGCTGCTCTTTCAAAGGATCCTGGTTCAATTCGTAGCACCCACATGGCGGCTCACAACTGCCTGTAACTCCAGTTTCAGGGGAATCTGACACTGTCACACACACACAGACAGACATGCAGGCAAAACACCAGTGTACATAAAAATTAATAAGTTAATTTTTTCCTAAACATTTAGAAAAAGAAAGTGAATCTGGAGCTCACCAATTTGGCTAGACTGGCAAACCAATGAACTCCCAAGACCTGGCTGTCTCTCCCCTACCCCAGGTGCTAGGGCTTCAACATGTATGCCTCCATGCCCAGGTTTTATGTGGGTACTGGGAATCCAAACTCAGATCCTGGTGGTCACACACCAGACACCGTACTCAGCGGCTCCTTTCCCTGGCATATTCTTTCAGTGACATTCTCTTGCTTTTAAGATTTATTGGCATTTTTAATCACGTATGTGCATGCATGTTTATGTGTGGTTGTGTGCATGTGAGATCGGCTGAAAGAGGATATCAGATATACCCTGGGGCCAAAGTTTCAGGTGGTTGTGAGCCAGTTGACCCAGGTACAAGAGCTGAACCTGGGTCCTCTGCAAGAGCAGTCCATGCTCTTAACCACTGAGCCACCCCTCCAGCCCCTGCAGTGGCATGATTGACAGAATTGTGAAAGACTGGGCAGTGCCGTGCAGCACCTGGCGAGCTGCCGATGAGAGCTCGGCTCTAACCACAATGCTCTTTCCAGGGCACTGACCATCCATGCACAGCCAACAACCCAGAGAGCTGCTCCATCTCACTTTCGCCTCAGGACTTCATCAATTTGTTCAAGTTCTGAATCTGAACACACCATGAAACTTCACAAGGGCCCTGGCTGACTGGATGGCTGGGAGTTCGGACACTTCACCTGTAAATAGTGTACATTTTAAGCATTGGCTTGGAACTGCTGGGATAAGTCACTGAGAAGATGTTGGTGGAAAGAGATGCAGTTGCCAATGGGAATTTACAAATGTGAACTTCACGTTAGAACTGGTACAGAAAAGCAAAAATACTGTATATAGACTTTTTTTCCCCCTAACAATTTACAAGCAAGACTACAAGGGCAAGAACTCTTATGTCAGCCATGAAAATGGAGTCCTCTTGATGTTCATGGAAACTTCCTACTTCACTAGGAAGAAAAAGGCAAAACTCAAATACAGGACAGGACACTCTGTTTACAATGTGAAAATGTTGTTAAGACGAAATAAGGAAGAAGGAGAACAGACGCTGCAATTGAGAATTCCCTGGACTTTGGGTTTGGATTTGAGGGTTTGTTTTAAACAGGGAAAGAAGCCCACTCATCTGAAACGTGCACGGGCATGAGTCCTCATCCTACGAAGATGCCACACAATGGTCTACCTCTAAAAGCATAGAGTGCTCTCTGGCCGCATACACTATCTAGCAGGCAATGTCTGTGTTTCATGTAAGTGCTTTCATCTGTAAAGTGATCTAAGATGGGAAGGCTATTAGGAAAAACAAAAACAAACAAACAAAAAACCCTCTATTGGTTCTGACTTCCTTTTTCCTTTCTCTCCCAGTAACTTTGCCTTTTTTCCTTTTGTATTGTAGCTCATGTAGGGAACTAGGAGCTGAAGAACACACCCACCCACCCCTACCTCACCCCCAACCCCCACAGAAGCATGAAGAGAGAATTAGACACCTGTGCAAGCCCAACACTTCTGACTTAGCTCTTCCCTCTTCTAGCCTAACTTCTGGGCTTATCTGGGCTTCCTTGGGTATCTTCATGGGTACATGGATGTCTGTGAACTTAGTGGAGCCCAAGAACTGGGGCTTGAGAGACACATTTTTCACACCAGTCAGTTAAACATCCTTTGAGCTGCTGCTTCCCCTCAGCAGGGCAATGAGCTGAGGCACTGTCTGTTCTTTAGTCCAGTATCAAAGTTGAGTCATCCTGAACTGGGACTTTTCACAAGCTTGATTTAAAAGAGAGCCTGGAGTTCCAGCCAGATAGAGAGACGTGTTCATCTTAAACTTGTTTCAGGACTGGTTAAAACAAAGAGAATTAGAAGACAAAGGATTCCAGGGATTCTGGCAAGGCAGAGATATGAGCACTGTGGAAGAATGGAGATCTCAGGGCTTAAGGAATTAATTCCTGGGGTGGGGAAAATGTTTTTATTTTTTACTTTTTACAGATTATTGCTTTTATACAATGTACATATATTTGCAGTTGTATTTGCTTTTTTTTTTCAACTCTCCAAATAAAATTGCCATTATGCATGCCCTTGGCAAATAAGCAGAAATAGGAATTTGTTCCACATAAATGCTAAGGTATGGGTATTACCGGAAGCACTGATACTTGGAGTAGTCCTAGGAGGAGAGGAAAGATGTCTGAGTGTGCCCAGAGACAAGGGGGGCAGTGACCACCTCTCCTTTCAGGTCAGTACTGTGCTGGCAGATAGAGTCTGAAGGATCCCTGATCTGTCCTATCTGTGCTTACATGAGACGTTCTCCATATTTCCTTCTTCAGCACCAGCCCCTGAGGGGGAAACTAAATTGAATTTAAAGGTTCATAATGAGAAAAGGGAAATGTAAAAGAACAATATTTCTTTTATATAAAAAGTTGTGAAAGTATAAAGTTGAACTTTGTAGAGACTACTAACATAACAGAGTTTTCTGTTTGGCTTTTCTACTCTTCTTCCCAGGATCAATTTTACATTAAGAATGTAGGGCCTAGACTATGAAAGGAAGAAAGAAAGAAAGAAAAAACAAAACTCTTCCATAATTTTCAGATCCTCTACAGGATCTCACCCTTCCTAAAGATGTGTGACGTAGTTGCCATTGCCATGAAAAGCTCTGGAGACAGTGATTCTGAGTGGTGCTGTTAAGGTTAGGGGGTCATGGCCACCGTGTTGTTCAGAGATGGAATGCTGTTGGGACCTTGGGGTTCATAAGTCCAGCAGCTTTTCCAGCTTTGGACTGCCAGCGTAGGACTGGTGAGCCAGCCTCACAGGATATGACAGCAGGGCGCCAAGTCATACATCATACATAACCCAAGCAACAGCCTGCCTCTGTGTAAAATGACCCTTACCCTAAGCAGTGAGGCCACGACTTTTTGAAATGTTTAATATATGCCTGCAGATTCTCCATGACCTTAGTATCAGTGGGTATGGTATGTGACACAACTGAAGAGCGGTTAAGGACGAAAAGGAAGAAAGGAACATGGATGGGTCACTTTCATTGATTACTAGAAAACGGAAAGGATGTGCAGGTGAAGAGGGAGTGGGAGAGGAGGAGAATCTTTGATGTGGGGAAGGAGGCAATGGAGAGAGTAGAGCAGGCAAGATACCCATATTAGGTCATGGCCAGAGACTCGCATACAAGTACTGAGAGTTAAAAAGAAAAACTCTTGCTCTTAGGACATTTAATAGTCTATAGAATTATTCTTGGCAAACCTACCCAGGACTCTCAGACGTAATGCATGAAAACTAAGAATCCCTGACACAGAACTGCGGGTGCAAAAGCAAGAGGGGTGTGACCATAGCAACTGCCGGAAGAAATGGAACTGTTTTCTCTCTATCGTACCTACTGTCCCCTGCTTTGCATGCTGTAAAGCAGAGCTAGAGTTATGCCCATTCTGAAGCGATTCAGATACTGAGAAAAGGAAAAAAAGTTCTGTTCAAGCCGTATTAGCAAACCCAGGGAAATAGTCACTCAAAACTTTGAAGAGCAATCAGCCAAGAGTCTCTGAGGAGGAAGGACCATCCCTTATAGCAATATATATATTGTTGATATATGTATATATCAACTAGACTATGTCATTACTCATGACTTACTCTAAACAGGTGTCTCAGCTGAATGGCATAAAGGAACAGAGATTACAAGGAGGGTATCTAGTCCATCAGCTGAGAGAGGCTTTCTGGTTAGTAATGGTCCATTTCAGATGGAATGACTTAGAGGAGATACTTTTTAAGGGACAAGGCTTCCACTGCAAAAGCTTTCAGCAGAAGAGCTGTTCTGCCTGTGACCATGCAGCCAGCTGGTATGTGGCTCATCCTTGTGGCGACACAAACCATTCCCCTTGAGGGCACTTGCTTTTGACACAGGCTCCTTGTTTCTATTGTTTTATATAGAAGAGAAAAGGCCGGGAATTCGATTTGTCTAAGCAATTGGTATGATTCACAGAGAGCTAAATCGTCACAGGGTTATGTTTTACAGTGTATGGTTCTCAGCATCCAACACAATGTTTATTATAAACCATGCACCTGGTTGTAGATTTTTCTGCCTGGCTGTAGGGCAGTAACATCTTGCTATACAAACACTAAATTTTATGTGTGAATTTTTGACTGTAATTTTATGTGTGCATTTTTTAAACTAAACTATCATTTTCTATGTTGACATCTGTTGTTGGTTTTTTGTTGTTGGTTTTTTTTTGTTTTGTTTTTCTTAATCTGTTTCCAACTCTCTGAGTCTGTGAACCATCTCTTCTGACTAGATCCTGGCTTCAAAGCTGTTAGTGCTTAAACAGGCTCAGAAACACCCTGAACCTCTGAGGAAATGCAGGGGTGATACTCTTTGATAGATCATGGGCCCTCTATGGCTTTGACAGTAATTCTTCTAAATTCTATATATTCTGTAAATGTTTTCTTCTCGGCTTTGCTAAAACAAAAGAGAGAGAGAGAGAAAGAGAGGGAGAGAGAAAGAGAGAGAGAGAGAGAGAGAAGAAAACCTTTATGATTTCCAAATGAAGGAAACTCCCATCCCAGACCTTAGACCAACAAGGGTTGTTAAGAGAGGATGGACATTTCTGCCTTTTCAAGCTGAGGAAGCTTTTCCAGAAAGGGGGATGGGGAGGGAGTGCTTCCTTTACACTCCCTGGGAAGTCAGCAAAAGGGCTGAACAGAAACCTGGGACTTCCTGATACCAGAACTCTGAACACACCTACCACCCAAGCACCTTGTGGGCATCTGTAGATTCATGACAGCCAGTGTGATTCTTCCCAGAGACCCTCACAGGAGATGTGGGAGACCATTCCATGATGGGCATCTGCCACCAAACCTATTAAGTCTGAATCTTACTGGAGAAGTTATGGAGTCTCTTTTCATTTCTACACCCTCCCATTCTTGCTGACACAACCTGCCTACTAGGAAGTAACCAGCATGCCAGGTGTGTGGTGCACACTTGTAATCTTTACACAGGCAGGAGGACTGGATTTCTAGCCCTGGCTGCATAGCAAGGCCTTGCTTCAAAAACAGCAGAAAGCAAACAGCATGTCTTAGCAAACTCATTTTTCCCTTGGGTACTTACATAATTCCCTTACAAGAATAGACGCAGGGTCCTGGTGAGATGGCTCAGTGGGCAAAGTGCCTGCTGTGCAGAATTCCATTTCTAGCATGTAAAATGTAAAATCCAGGCGTGAAGTTCAGTGCCTTAAGAATCATGTGGTACCCAGGCTCAGTGAGAGACCCTGCCTCAAACTAAATGTGGACAGGGATCCAGGAAGATACCCAACATCTGCCTGACCTCCAAATGCATATGCTTGTCCACACAAATCCCCAGGAGCATACTAGCATGCACACATGTCATGGACACACAAACAACATGCACACATGTTCTTGAGCTTGTGCATCTACACACAAACGACTAGATAAGTGTTGACCCAGCTCCTGTTAGTACCCAAACAGGTCTTTCTTCTCCCATGAAATGGATAGGTGCATTTAAGCCATCCGTCCTCTTTCCTGCTCCTCTCTTACCAGTGCAGCTCATTCTGTTCAACCTTGATTGCAACATGCAGAACTTATCCCATAAGGCAAGGGATGGGGCGATAGCCATGATTTTCGTCTGCTGGGCTTTTTTTCCAAAGTGTCCTTGAATTCAGTAAGCAAGCTTCTTGAGAAAGCTCTCTAAACTTAGTCCCTCTCCATTTGGCTGGAAATGGAGGCTGCATCCAAACTCCACATTTCTGGATGCTCCATAAGCTTCAGCATTACTGAGTACAACTCTGTCTTTGAGTATAGACACATTTGTTCACTCTGCACAAGACTGTCTAACAGATGGCTCCAAGCCTTGCCTCCATGCTTGGGAGCCTTTGGTACCATCTTTAACTACCAAATGCCAATCACCTTGGCTAAAGACAGTGTATATTATAGTTCATGTCTAAGCTTAGAAGCTTTAAATGTATGTTTTAAAGAAAAAATTAGAGTGGATTGAGTGTTTTAACTCAATGTGTACGGTTGGACAAATTACATGCACAGATGATTGTTTAATATTGAGTAATCTGAATCCTGTATAACTTATTTGCACACCTTTCTTGCATGATGAACTGACATTTTTATAGTTGTTTGTACAAGACAGTGGCATATTTTTGTAAACATTTTTTGACACTGAATTGCAATAAATGTTTTTCCAACAACACACCCTGGTGTATTTTTTTATGTGTGTCTATTCAGCTTAGCCTTTTATTGTAATGAATATGTTTATCTTTTGTCTTTAAGACTTACTTATATTTGTCCCAGAAGTTTGTTACCATGATTATAAAAGTTCCTAGGAATATACAGAAAAAATAAGCTTGTGGTTGAACTACAATGTTCTCTTTGAGTGCTATATTTCCATATATCGACTGACTTGTAAAATGATTGGGAGAAAATCAATTCTAAAGTTATTATCATTTATTCACCAACAAACAGAACAATTAGTGTTTGCTAGATCTGTGTAAAGCACTGAGAAGAGGATGATGAACATGACAGAAGTGGTCTCTGCCTTGATGGATTTCAGATTCTAACCACCCCTCCCCCAAGAAAAAACAAATAGCAGCAGTGGCTTGCCATGAGTATTATGAATGGAACAGTAAAGCACTGTTTGAGGCAGGAGGAGCAGAGGCTTCCTTGAGGGGGTGTGCTGAGCTGTCACCTAGCCTCAGAAGGAGGGTTAAAATGTTCCAGAAAGCAAGAGGCTGGCATCACAGACCCAGCTTCTGCCTGCAGTGTGGCCTGTCACACCTTGACATAACTCTCTCTGTTGCAGTCTCTAAGATGTTGATAGTAAGATGTCAGCACAAGAAACACAGTTCTCAACTCAAAAGGAAGGAGAGTTTGTTCTGGATGAATATGCTGACCATGGCCCAGGAACACATACGTAGTTTGCTCTAAATTCCAGGCTCCAACATGGCAGCAGTCTCATGAAGTGATAGAACAAAGGAAGCTGTGAATCAACATGTTCTTCAAATACGTTGAAATCCGGTAGATGGCTTACAGCAAAGTGGGGGAAATCCCTGTTAGAAGATTCAGGCAGTGTCTGACCGTGTTCTTCGTTTGGGGATTGGTAGACGCTGAAAGAGCCTGTCCCTTCCAAAGGACTTACATAACACTCATAAGGATGTTAGGTCACAGACAGAGACAGGTGGTAAACTGTCATTCAAGACGCTAAAGATAGCTTTAAAAATGCCTGGGAACTTGCAACATTCTAACTCCCCACTTTTGTGAGGTTCTAATCAATGTGCCTTTGTGGTCAATGCTTCTCTCCAGGAATTTTCCTCCACTATGCCTATTTCTCGAAGTTGAGAAATATACTAGTTGCTTTCCTCAGTGTTGTGAGCAAATATCTTGCCTGGAGTTCCTGGCCTGAGGAACTCTGAGCAGAACAACTCAAGGTAAGAAGGGTTCATTTCAGCTGACACTTGAAAAAGGGATATAGTCTATCCCACCACAAAAGGCAGGAAGGCATAAGCCTGAGGCAGCGGGGAACAGCAGGCAGGAAGCTGGCCAGACATTTTAAGGCCCTGCCCTCAGTGATCGACTTCCTCTAGGGTCCACCACCTCCTAACGGTTTCATAAGCACAAATCATCCCACCGGCTGTGACCCAAAAGTACAAACACATAAACCTACAGGGGACGTTTCACATTCAAGACACAGTCAGGTTTACTGAAATAAGAATATATGTAAAGTTCCTGGAGACTGACAATAATAGGAATTCAAGAGACATTAGCAATTATCATTGTTCACTGAGCAGCAAGAGTTTAAGAACTAGATTGGGAACTCTCGTTCAATTGCCTATGGCTTGATGGGTTCCCTCCCTGTGGACTTCTCACTTGATACTTGAACTCTGAAATGCACCCTGGTTCTGCCACTAATTCTCCTTCAAAAAAAAAAATGACATTAGAAGTGCAATTAAGGGTTGCGGAGCAGCTCAGCAGCTGAAGCATTTGCTGAGCAAGATGGCTGGAGTTCAGCTCCCCAGAACCCATGTGACTGCCAATGGGGCACAAAGGCTCAGCTGTACTTCTAGCCTCAGAAGGTGGAGATAGAATACACCAATAAGCTCTGGGGGTGATTCAATGAACACTTGATCTAAGTACAGATACAGAGAGAAGAAGGAGCAGAAGAGGTATTTAAGGAATAAAATGTTTTTCTTTAAATAATACATGTATCAAAATAGAGATGTAGATAAATTTATATAAGGAGAACAGCTCAACAGGTAGACGTGCTTGACCCCAAGGCTGACAATTTGAAGCCTGGAATTCACATGGTGGAAGGAGAAAAACAACTCCTGTCAATTATCCATGACTAGAGGAATAAGGTTTTTTATTTTAAAGGTCATTTATTTATGTATTTATTTCTACTGCCCATTGCTTGTCTCTCTCAGCCGCTGATTCATACAGCCTCCTAGAAAGAGACAGAGGATGAGGAAAGCCTGAAGGAGGCATCTCTGGGTCCAGGGAGAGGAGGAGAGAGGCAGAGGGAAGGCGGGAACCCAGTGGTTGCAAGAGGCTCTCAGCCAGCCGCCACATCCTGAGGAATCGTACTTGGCAAATGCTAAGGAGCAAGTGTGACAGCCGAGTCGTTCCCCTCCCACATGAAAGAGTGTGTGGCTCACCCTTCTGCACTCCTTCAACTTGCCCTCGGTTGTCTTAATGATATTTCACTAGTCAGCCTTTTCTTTGCTTCAGAATCACTCTACACGGCCCCTGTTTCCTTCCAAGAGGCAACAGAGCATGGAAAACACAGACTGTAGAGCCAGCCAGCCCAGCCCTCTAGTTGCAGGGGCGTGCTAACCCTTATTGTGTCTCAGCTCTCTTGTCTGCAAATGAGTGACAGCAGGGTCTGCCATGGCACTTGCTGGGAACAGTGACTGAGCTGACAAATTCTGTGTGATAAGATATGTCTGTGTGGTTATCCAGCTTGGAATAGTATTATTCACTAGGTCTGCTTTGCATTTTCTGCTTAGTCTAATGGGCCTGAGGAAAGACAAAAACAGCCAGCCCGAGCCCCACACTGTGCTAGTGTCTCCCTGTTGTTTAAACCAGTGGCGTCAACCACTTCATCTGTCTTAAGCTTAAACCAAATTTATGTCTCAGGAGATAAAAAGTTGCCAGGCTTTACCTGAAAGTCATCAGGGGAAACAACAAGATTCAGAAAGAGCCATATGATCTATGGGAGTCAATACTTACATATATGTGTGTGTGTGTGTGTGTGTGTGTGTGTGTGTGTGTGTATGTATATATGTATATATATATATATGTACATATGTATATATTTTCACATTTATAGTCCAAATTGAGACCTCCCAGCATGCTGCTCCCAATTTACTCAGCATAATAAGTGTCTGCTGGATGCATGGGGCTAAGATTATCAAGTAAAGAAATAACAAAAACAAAGAAAACACAGCAAGAAACTCATGTTACATAGCTCTAAGATTGGGGGAAGGGCAGGAGGGGAACACTAAGGCAGGAAGATTGTGGGTTTGAAGCCAACTTGGAAAGATCCTATCTCAGAGAAAACAAACCTGGTCATCGTAGTCCATAATTCCAGCACTTGGGCAGCTGAAGCAGGAGGATTATAGCCAAGTTCTAACCTAGCTTGGACTACATATGAGACCTGGTATGTTTAAAAAAATTAAACAAAGAAACAAAAAGATAACAAAGTCTATTTGAAAGCCCTATGTATTAGGGTGGAGCTAGGTGTATATGAAGCAATATTTACAGTAAGTCTTCAGTCTAATGGGGAGAAATTAAAAAATTACATTTTCTGTCATTTTCAGAAGCAAGATTGAACAGGCAGTGTGTGTGTGTGTGTGTGTGTGTGTGTGTGTGTGTGTGTGTGTGTGTGTGTGTTTGTATCAGATGGAGAACTATGGAGGAAAGGGGTAACTGAAAGAGTGAAGGAGAGTTGAGGATAGATAATGGAGATATATATTATATATATGTATATGTACATATATATAGTTTGTATATATAATGTTTCATTAGACCTACCATTCCTATGGTAGCTACAAAACTTTAAAAACAGCATGCTGCAATCACACAGTGCAGTGGAGACACAATGACATTTAACGTGTTTATTGAATCAGCTTTTCTGCACTTGTGTCCTCATGCACACTATGGAATGGAAGCAGTGTGTACTCTTCGGACTGTTGGGAAGACTGATGGAGAAAGGCATCCAGCGAGGCATGGTGTGCATACCTTTAATCCCAACACTGGGAAGGCAGAGGCAGGCAGACCTCTGGGAATTTAAGGGCAGCTTGGTGTACATAGTGAGCTCCAGGACAGCCACGCTACATGGGGAGACTCTGTCTCAAGAAAACAAACAGAGAAGGAGGAGGAGGAGAGCAGAGGAAAGCAGATAGGCACCTGAGACAGTAAACTGAAAAGTCAGTACTGTAGTCCTTTGACACTTTTGTATCGGGTGGTGAAGCAATGGCCTAAGTATGATCTAGATTCTGATCCAGATTCTGCTAACTAGGTTCTGTTTCTGGTCACATTTTTGAGAGGAGAAAGCTGGGACATGGAGAACACACACAACTCACTGTGTACACAAAAGAAGTGGGAATCATTTAAACTGAGGCTGCGTGAGCCCAGGCCCTACATGCCTGTGGACTGAAGGGTTGAAGAATGACCAGTCTTGCTGTGCCCTCTTGGGAATGCAAAGGCACAACCACTTTTTCCAAAGCAGCGACTGATAAAACATTATCCTAAAATAACTCACAACTCGGCAATCTGGCTCTGGACTTTAAAATCATTGCCATGAATTTTTCGATCCAAATTCAAATCAGAAAAGGCATCACCTCACTCGAGGGTCCTGAGCATGCACTGTGTGTGAGAAGGGGCCTGTCCTGGCACATTGATTCTCCAGCCTTCTACTCTGCTCTTCTTCTCAGAGCAAGGGCTGCCCTTCATCCAGGCTGCTGTTTGGTACTGGATGCGACACGCTTCAAAGGTGAATTGCTGATCCTCAGAGTAAGACCTAGGTGACACCATGCTTGTCCGTGATGTTTACATAACCATCCCAACCCCCAAAGAATGCTACTCTGTTTCTGCTCTCCTGTGGGCCTGTGGCTGGAGACAGAAACGTGGACAATAGCCCCATCTGCCTGCGGAATGGAAAGGCTCTCTGAAAAGCAGCCAATACCCTTAGTGAAG